GTTTCTCCAGATGGTCCAAGGCGGGGTCAGGTTTATCAGAAGAACCGTGGCACATAACAGGATTGTTATTTTTAAACTCTTCCTGTTGCAGCCAGATGCAGGTTGCTCCTTCTTCCCAGGTGGGCAGCCCCTTTTGCCCAAGGCATGGTGCGCAGGGAAACCAAATCCAACGTGCTCCATTCTTTTCTCTGCCAGGGGAGGGAAGTGAAGTCAGAACCCAATGTTCAAATTCTGAAGGACACTAGGAAGAAGATAGATAGAGTGAATGGTTAGATCTCAGCTTCAGTGGGAATCCTGGATGCATAGATAAGGAGTTAACTAGCATTAATCAGCCCCTGCTGCTCAAAAGATGCCAACAAACACAAGAGACCTTGATCAACAGAGAGCCACGTGGAGGATGCAACTGCTCAGCTCCAAGCTTCAGAGTATGACTGAGACAGAAAGACAGCAAAAGCACAAAGGTAAGTGCTCCTCCTGTAAGCTGACATCACCAACAAAACTCTGCAAGATAAGGAGGCTTAAAGGAGGGCTAGGCTAACTCCAGAGGCATTATAGGAAAGCAGCAACGAAGTGAAAAAATACTCTTCACCTTAAGCAACCACAAATACCAATTCATAGGAAAAGACAAAAATAGGGATTTTTAGAGATCACACGGTAAAGCTCTTTATGCTCACACATTTAAAGAAATCCTCTATCTAAATAGAAATTATTAAACATTTATAAATATCTCATTTTCCCCCAAGTCTAAAGATCCCTTCTCAGGTCTTCTGCTTCACCTCAACAATTTGTTCGAACAAGCCTTGGAATAAGTCTAAGCAGAATTAAGACCCTGACATAAAACCTCTGCCATACACCAGTGATTCACTTTGGAAGGCAGAAGAGCAAAATAAACGTACGGCATCCCATCGTTTGCATTCAGTAATAGTGAGCATGAAACAAACCTGTGAAAAGTGAAAGATGCTGTAAAAGTGAACCAACTCTGAACAAGAAAAGACAAGGGAAGTGCAACAGGCTACTTGGGGAAACTGCAAGTTGATGGGGTCCAAACACAGTGTTTAAACCAAAGGGAATTAGATGAAGCATAGCAAGAAAATCATGAGTCCACATAAAGCTGAGGAAGACAGAAAGTGTTCTCCAGGCTATGAAGGATCTATGAAGGGAGTCTAACTGAACAACTGAAGATACTTAACTCATCCACCGCAAGAGTAGATGGACTTCACACTCATCAATAAAGCACAAACTGTACCACTGTACAAAAGAGGCAATTCTATTCAAAGTATTCCTCTTACTGGCTTGCAGAATTACATAAGAGGTAGATGAGCAAGCCCTAAGTCGCTGGGCTGCTCAGACACAGACAGGTAGCCACCCATACATCCCACAATGGGAATGAAGGGCACTTGCATTAAGTGCTGAAGGAGAGAATGGTTGCCCATGATTGAGCATCTGATTGCCACAGTCTAACTCCACTGTGGCTACTCTTTTCCCTTGTTCACTAAGGCTCCCTGAAGTCACTCTGTATGGCTTGCACATCCAGTGCCTTAACCAGTGAATAGCAGGTTTACAACCAAGTGAGCCACAGCTATCAGACAACAACAGCAGGAGCTGTAGAATTTATATTTCTCCTAGTCAAGTAAATTATTCACACTACACTTTCTTCCTCTGCAGCTTATAGCTACGTTTGCAGGTCTCGCCTCAGCCCAGCAGTGATGCAAAGTTTCAACGTCTGATCTATCTCCAAGTCAAAGAGACACAGGATTGAAAAGACTCCTGATGAAGCTGTGTACAAGTTATTTAGCATTTAACTTGCAAGAAGGGGATAAAATCATCAGCTCTGAGCACTATGGGTAACGTCAAGTAGCTTGTGCCTTCTCAAGTGCTGCAAAGAAACTTATTCCTAAAGATCTTCTCTTGCCTACAAAGAGAACTATTTCTCCAGCCACAGTTTCATTCTGGCTGTTCAAATAACAGAGTGTGATCACTGGCATTTATCAATGAACACATTTTTCCTGGTGTTACACCCGTAACTGACCCAAAAGGCTACAGCTTAAACCCACAATAATTACTCTGAAGGACAGCTTTAGGTTAGCAACCACTTAAGAGTAGTTTTTGTCAACATGAATCTAATATGGAAAAAACCACTTTCATAGAAAGGATATATAAGGAAAAAAGTCTGGCCATGCTTTCCCAGAACAGTGATATCCAAACGGGGACCCTAATAACTCATTGCCATAACAGGTTCAGAGAATCACAGAATCACAGAATATTAGGGGTTGGAAGTGACCTCGAAAGAAGGGAGAGATGACACAATCTTGACCTCATAGACACTGATGTCTGCAGCTTACTTGGTTTCAGAACTTGTAAATTTGAGAAAACATTCTGCCTTCTTTTCCCAGGGTTCTTCCTGGCCACCCAGAACACTCCCACTTCTCTCCATGCAAGCCCTGATCTTTTCTGTAAAACTCGTCCCACCTTTCTGTCTTTGCAGTGTTTTACACACCACTGGTTCTCTGGAGAAAAAGGTTCCATTCATCCCACTCTATGGATTCCAGGATACAGAAAAAAACTGAAAAGCTTTGCAAAGCTCAGAAAAAGCAAACAATCTAAGGACAGAATAAAAGGCTTGAAACAAAGCACATTGAACAGGGCATCACCTCTGTAAGTGAAGTACTGCTGTTAACAATTGTTCACCAGCAGGTATGTAAGAGCTATGCCTTCTGCTGAAACACAATACTGTTTCAGAACTTATTCCAGATCTCACTCCTTTCCTAGGAAGCATATGTCCAGCGTATTTCTCAGAAAGTATCACTTCATGCACGGAACAAAGCAAATCCAGGGCTTTTAACATCAGGTAGCTCCTCTGATTACAGAATTCATATGCCAATTATGGAATAATAATATGGAACAAGAATATAACCATGCTGTTAAGAGCTCCTGTTCTCACATTTCATTATAGTCACATTTTCACTAGTACTAGACTCTATCCTTTGATAAATATTACCTCAGCTTCTCTGCTTTACACTCTTAAAAAAGCTGATCTATGCCTGGTACTCTGTAGACAGAGGTCTTGTCTGTCTAGCCCAGGTAATTAATGAACTCAGGACTGCAGGAGGGCTTGCTTATGTTTTGGAAACATTGTGAAAAACATTTCACCCCTGCAAAGTCAATGTATTCCCCACATATGATGGCCTGTCCTAGCATGGCACAAAAAAAAAAAACCCAGCAGCACAGAAGTTCAGAATAGTATTCAGTAGAAACACTGCTCAAAAGGCTACAGCTTCTCTCACTAACTTGCAAGCAGTCCTAATGCAGATGAAGAATGCCAACATATTGTCAACCAAATTTGTCTTTGAAATAAAAACCGAGTTTCCATAGTCCACCTGCAGTTAGGATACTCAATTTAAGACAGACAGAAATTTAGCAAAAGCACAGTTAAACACCCAAGACTATGAAGAGCCCCATAACAAAAAAGAAAAGGTTGATTGATCCTCCCTCTCTCTACAGTAAAGAGATCTGTTAAGTACAAACAGAAGAATATTATTAATAAATTAAATCCTAAGCAGTGTGGTGGGATCAAGAACAAGAAGCAGCTAAACTGTGTTTAAAATACCAATATATAGTTGTATATCAGTATTTTCACAAGGTTTAAATACCACCAGCTCAAAGGACAGCATTTCATTTTGTCTATACCCAAGACAACTGTATGAAATAGCTATACTGGGACTGAACAGAAAAATATGCAACTTGACATCTGGTCTCCAGCATGAACAGCAGCAGAAATCACCAGAAAATTTAGGCTGACATGAGTCTCCAGGGGTCACCACGTCCAAACTACCTCCAGGTTACTCAGGTGCCTAGGAGAGACTATTAAAGTCAATCACAGGATAATTTCACTCAGTCTCCACAATTGTGAAGCTCAAGGGCTTCCCACAACTGAAGCAGTATCTGCAATTTGCCCTTACTTCTGCCTGTTCAGCTGGCCAGTATTAGGGGTTGAATTTGCAACAGTAACAAATACCATATCTGCCTCCTAAAGAGGCAATATTCCTGGCAAGGCTTCCACTTTCCAAGCAATATCCAGCCTATGCTCCAGTTCATAGCTATTAATTTTCTGTTAGCTAACCAAGCTCAAAAGTGTGAAGTATGCCTCTATTCTTTAACTGCCTCAGTGATTAAAGAACTTCAAATCAGGGTGTCACACCCTCAAGAGAATGACACCTTCAACTCTTCTCATATACATTATGACTCTAGTTTTTTAGTGTAAATATGAAAGATTGATGAAGAGGCAGCCTTGCTGTGTGTTAGATAGCACTAACACATCCTTCCTCGATCCATCTCCAGCCACACTGCATGCTTTCATTTCCCATTCCCGCAATGGATATATAAGCAATTCAGTAGTTAATGCTGATGAACCAGCTCACCAGACTTTGGAGACGCTATCCCAGAAAACAGAAGCACAGAAGGTCTGACAACTGACAGTGACTGTGTGCTGCTACACACAAGCCAAAGCACGCAGTCATGACACAGACACACTTTGCAACTACACATACTAGAAAATTTTGCAAAGATAATGACCTGAATGGAAACACAGCATGTGTTTGGCTCAGTTAAACCATTCTGTATATAATATAGGATTACGTTATTATTTATGGCATCAGCATATGCTCTCACATCAACTTAGAGCTATAGACATTGCAAGGCAGACCAATATCCTGTAACACAGTCATCTTTGGCAACAAGAGACAACAGGAGTTTCCTTCAGGTTGCTACTCTACTCCATAAAGGAGTTTACAACCTGGCAAGTTAAATCTACTTACCTTGCACAGCTTTCTCCTTCTAAAAGGGAATGTGGCTCTTTAAGTAAAAGAGCACCTGCACGTCCAAAGAAGTATCTTTAACCTCTTCAGAGCTGGGCACAGGAATCCCAGACATTTCCACCATAGAGCTGTAGAATTTTACGTAACTACACCTACCTTTTCGTGCTCCTGAAATTAACTTGGTACCCAAGTATGGTTGGAGGCCTGTGAGGTGCTGGGATAGCTGGGTGTAGACAGAATGGGTTCAAAATTAAAGTCCAGTCCTTCTCCATCCATGAGTTCACTGTTGATTATGTAATCCATATCACATTCAAGGTTCTCCATGTACATGTCAATGTCCAGGTCAATGGGCAGCCTGTCTTGGTTCAATCCCAGGGGAGCTGGGCTAGCAGAAGACAGAAGCACTGGACTGCCTAGCTGGACTGACTGGGTAGTTGTTGCAGAAACTGGAGCCTTCAAACTGATGCTGGCAGTGTTTTGAGGAGATGTTACTATGGGAAGCGCTGATGACAAAACACCGGCACCAACTGGTTCTGCCTGCTGCTCTGTAGGCTTTCCTTGTGGATTGCCTGAGCTCATCCTGCTTTGGGCAGCTTGTTCACCTAGAAGCAGAAGTGTTCGGCTGCTCATCCTGTTACCAGTCTGTGGGAGAACTGGATCCACCTGAGTCATCATAACATCCCTTGGAGGTGGAGAGCTGGGTGTCAAAAGAGCTGCCAAGGTCTGAGGGGTAGGGAAATGGCCAACAGAATTTTGCAGTGTGATATCAACAGGATTAAATAGGGAATTGCCAAAAGTAGTGGTCTGACCAGCTGCATTCGGGCTCCGCAAGGAAAAGCTGGAATCTCTCTGAATCTGACCACTTGAGGGAGATTGCTGGGTAGGTAACACAGATGAGCTGGAAGACATCAAATTTAACCCATCAATGAGCTCAAGCTCCTCAGTCACAGTTGGTGGAACATTGCTGGATGCACTGGAGTACACTAGAGAAGGAAGCAGCTCTTCATCATGGAGGTCATCCTGCTCTGTCAGGATAGGAGAAAGCCTGGCACTAATGGTGCTTGCATTGGAACTGGTTCGAGGCCGAAAGGTGTTCCACATATCAGAGTCCTCATTGCTTCTTGAGGATGGGCTCCCAGGCCACTTAGGGAATTGGGAGCCAGGACTGTCAGCAGTGGATTCTGAAGCAGACTGGAGGGAAGGCTTCTTTTTGGATGTTTTACCTCTGACTTTTGCAAGTTTACTGCTGTTGTCCATGGAGGCAGCTCTTCTTCTTGGTGCTTTTCCACTTTTACCACCCTCAGGATTGAGCATCCACCAAGAGCTCTTCCCTGTGGCTTCATTATGTACTTTAATAAATTTGCTGTGCAGGGACAGGTTATGTCTAATAGAGTTCTGAAAAACAAAATAAATCAAAAAAAAAGATATGAGGGCCTCACAGCTGACATAGCTCTCTTCTAGAAATCTCACAAGCATAAACACATTCAGACAGTATCCAGAGAAAGTTATAACAGAGCTACCCATAAAAAAAGTGCCATTTCTGCTTGAACACTAACAGTGTCACGCCTCACTGCAGTACCAAGGGTGAAACTACCATGACAACTAGCACGTTCCAGTTGGCAATACTAAAACAAAAGAACTTTTTCAAGACCATACATAATCTGCAAAAACTAAGCATACCACAGGATACACAAATTCACATATACAGCTTGCAATTTCAACATGAGCCTAACTGAATTCAAGTTAATGCTGCTCCCACCCTTCTGCTGACGCCATTAGCCAGTGTAAGCCTGGCTGAAGTTTTAACTTTTTTTATGGCTAGCTTTCAGATATATTTCACTAGTCTGTTTGATTCACTGTTATGATGTGCTGAAGTGGCAAAAAGTGGCAAAAAGATGGCAAAGTGCTTCTAATTCAGTATGCCCATTAACATCTTCATCCCAAACCCAGAGAAACAAAAGAAACTTTGTGGAGCAGGAGTCCTAGTAATCCTGGAGCCTGCTAGTGTCGCTCTGCAAGGAAGCAGCACGCCTTACTCTGTGCATTTCTAACGGGGTAAGACATTCAGCAGATAGTGCATTCCGCGCACAGTACATGCCAGTTTTAGCCTTTCCCACCTTTCTATTTGGCAAGGCACATTCCTTGTCTCTCCCGATTTCCTTCTGTTGGTTTAGCTTTGCTGGAAACTGCAAACTAAGTATACCAAATTGAATATTCACTCTGCAACTCTATTTTAGAATCAGAAAGCAATAATCTCATTGCTTGAGTAGATCCTCTACACTTGAGGCTTGTGTCATGCATTTGTTTGATATTTGCATTTAATTTGTTCAGATGGTCAAATTACACATCATTAAAAGGTGCTACACTGCGTAACGGCAGTTCAAGAGCAACATCTTTTTCATATAAACTAAAAGATATATAGGAGCCTTCAGCTTTCATGCATGCTCTCTTAACTCTGAACAAAATTAACTGTGTCTTTTTCATCCTTTCCCACCACCTCTGGACACAGTTCTTTCCTGCCTGCTGCTTTCCCTCTCCCCACCCTTTTCCTCTCAGACAAATCCTCACCACGCTAATTTTGGCGACCTCACAAGAGGAAAGCAGATGTAGATAAACAATATAGGCAAAGTTGAAAGTTTTCATGAAGAAGGAAGGAGACGTGAGAATCATTCTGCATTAGCTTTCATTTTAATATTTAGTTGTTGAGGATCTGGAGAAGACAGGCTGCTTGTGACTGGTATCAAAGATACATAAGCCTTTACTCAGGGAACACTCGGAGGGCTATTGTGGAGGCAGGGTCTGATGGAACACATAGCAATCAATGCTCTTATATAGTTTAATTGTTTGAGTTGCTCGCAGTAATAGCTATACAACACTCCTGCCTGGCATCTTCTCTAAATAAAGCTTTCTTTTACTTCAAGTCTCAAAAAAAAGGTAATTCAGACTGGTACCCTGTCTCCTTGAAGGCTACTGCTTTAACTTCCAAATAATCTCCCTGCTTTTCCCAGGTGAACATGCATGCCTTTCAATGCATACTGCTGCAGCAGTAAGAACCACTACGTTGTCACCAACTCTTCATTTATTTTCTTCAAAGTAACCTGTGAACTCATGATGACACCCAGTCCTCTCAGGAATGACACAGTAACTTGTCCACACAGTATACACTGGAGTCTCATAACCACCTGTTTTTTAGCCTCACTTACAAAAAAAAGAGCTTTAAATCAGTAAATTCAGGATGTAAAAATTTCACAAGTAACTATATTGTTTTCTTCTCATGTATGGCTATAGGTTTTAATTTCTGTGTCAGCAAAAGCATACTGCACTGGTGCAAGCATTTCTGCACTGATGCAACCTCAAGAACAACAGCAACACTTTGAGTATCATACACGACAATTTTAGTGACTAGTTTTCTAGGTGTTTATTTTTTTCTGAAAAGCAGCTTGAAAGACGACTAGGATTCACACAAACAGAGAGATGAAGCTTGGTACCTTTTATAAAACAGCCTCAAAGTGCTTTTACATGTTACTGTTAAACCGACATAAAGGCTCATAGCTGTAGAAACAGGTAATTGATGTGCAACTCCTTCCTTTCTCATCTTCACACTCACCTTCTCCCATAATACAAATATCTGTGACTCTGAAGTAGTTCAGACATCTAACCCAATGGAAAAGCATCCTTATTCTTCCTTGAAAAATATTTTTTTTTCCTGCCTCTTTTATCTCTGCCTGTTTTTTGAACTACCTCACTGTGGCGGTTAAGCACCGAAAACTAAGGAAGAGAACAGAATGTGTAGTTGGAAAAAGAGAAAGAAACCCCACTTCTTACATTAGGGCTAACTGATGTCAAAATTGCAATGCTTAAATCATCACTTTCCCACTTCTCCTGTAGACTTTGCAAGGCAGCTCACTGCCACAGCATCCAGAGCCATAACACACCTGCATTACTGAGCTCACCTGCATACTGAAGACTCAAGTCCAAAGTCCCAAAATACAATCGACACACCTACCAGCCTGGGTGCTGTGAAACAGCACAAGAGATTCACACTTGCATACTGCACACTCCTCAGCAACAGAATACGTTTGCTAGAGTGATTTAATACACCTAACAAATGGCGAGCATTCTCAGATCTCATTGAAAAAGTGAGGGGCAAATCAATTACACTAAAATAATCACAGGACACCAGGTCGAACTTGACAGAAGAGGAAATGACAGAGTTCAGTCACCCAGGCAACCCTGACATATTTCCTTTCTCAATGTTAAGCAACTCAAACCAGAGACAAACAGATGACATAAACTTTTCATATGTTCAACCTCAGCAGTGTAGAAGGATCACAGTTGGTCTGAACACCTATAATTCCCAAAAGATCTTGGCTCTTCCACATCTTTGATCATATGGAAGTGTGACCTGAAGGAAAAGGCACAGGCAGGAATCCTTCAAATCCTTTGGGACCTCTTCAACAACTAGTTAGGAGTGGTTATTGCTGTTTATTCGGATATCTTATAGAGGTAAGTATTCCAGTGTTGGTATCCTGGGGTGCATTAAGAAAAGTGTGTTCAGCAGATCTATAGCGGTTCTCCTCCCACTCTACTCTGCCCCGGTAAGACCACACCTGGAATACTGTGTCCAGTTTTGGGCTTCCCGGTTCAAGAGAGATAGGGACCTACTGGAGAGAGTCCAACAGAGAACTACAAGGATGATTAAGGGACTTGAACACCTCTGCTATGAAGAAAGACTGAGAGAACTTGGCTTGTTTAGTCTTGAGAAGGCTGAGAGGGGATCTTATTAACATGTATAGATACCCAAGAGGTGGGGGCCAAGAGGAAGGGGCCAGTCTCTTTTTGGTGGTGCCCAGTAACTGAACAAGGAATAATGGGTATAAGCTAGAACACAGAAAGTTTCACCTCAACATGAGGAGAAACTTCTTTACTGTGAGGGTGACTGGAACAGGCTGCCCAAAGAAGTCATGGAATCTCCTCTGGAGACTTTCAAAAACCACCTGGATGTGTTCCTGTGTGGCCTGCCCTAGGTGACCTCTAGAGGTCTCTTCCAACCTCTAACATTATATGATTCCATGACAGAATCGTCTGGGTTAGAAAGGACGTTAAAGACCATGTGGTTCCAAATGCCCCAGGCACGGGCAGTGACACCTCCCACTAGATCACAGAATCACAGAATATTAGGGGTTGGAAGGGACCTCGAAAGATCATCTAGTCAGATCCTGCCAGAGCAGGATCACCTACAATAGGTCATACAGGAACGCGTCCAAGCGGGTTTTGAATGTCTCCAGAGAAGGAGACTCCACAACCTCCCTGGGCAGCCTGTGCCAGGGCTCTGTCACCCTCACAGTGAAAAAGTTATTCCTAATGTTTTTGTGGAACCTCCAATGTTCCAGCTTGTATCCATTGCCCCTTGTCCCGTAACTGGACATCACTGAGAAGAGCCTGGCTCCATCCTCCTGACACTCACACTTTACTTATTTATAAACATTTATGAGGTCAGCCCTCAGCCTCCTCTTTTCCGAGCTAAAGAGATCCAGCTCCTTCAGCCTTTCCTCCTAAGGGAGATACTCTACTCCATCATCTTTGTGGCTCTGTGCTGGACTTTCTCAAGCAGTTCCCTGTCCCTCTTGAACTGAGGGGCCCAGAACTGGACACAATATTCCAGATATGGCCTCACCAGGACAGAGTAAAGGGGCAGGAGGACCTCTCTTGAACTACTAGCTAGTCCCCTTCTAATACACCCCAGGATGCCATTGGCCTCCTGTGGTGAACTTTCTTAAAAGCACTAATGCAACAGGAAAAGGAGGTTCTTGTGCCTCATCCATGCAGCAGTGGTGCATGAAAGGTGCTACTAGAGCACTCTAAGCCAAGCACAATCTATCCTAGGAAAGACAAAAAAACCCCAACAGCTACCCTTGAAAATTCTGTCTTGCCCACATTTGACTGGATTTTCAATCAAGAGAGAAAGAGAGAGGGAGGGAGAAAGAGAAAACATATGTTATAACTGCAGCTGCCTGTAATACACTGTCATTGCCTCAGAGGCATAGAAAGAACACAGTCACCACCCAGCGTACGGCCATGTTCCAAATCCAGGCCTATAACTGTCCCGAATTATCATTTGCCATAGCATTCTTGAGAGCGTGTGAGGGAAGAATGCCCCACCTGCCACATCTGTTAGTACCTGTCTCAGCACTCATCCATCCGCTTGGCTCTGGAGGCTTTAGGAAAAAATCTTCATTGCAGAGACTTTACAGTTATACTCCAGCAAGTAATTAACGTCAATCAAGCAATCAAGCCAAGGAGCCAAAACACATCCCTAGTGATACCCTTCAAGAAGGTATATGTGAGCACACGTACCAAGCTTGGCAGATAAGTAGCTGCATCTTAGTAAGAAC